TGAGCAATGGTGTTTCTTACCAGAAATATGATACAAAATAGATGGTCTGTACCAGATTTGGCAGAAAAATTGACATTGCAACACTTGTATTCTCTATCTGGCAACACAGATAATGCCTTTGGAAAACACATGGGGACACCTTGCTGCTGTCCTCTCCTTGCCAAGTCTATTCTAGAATTAGTACCAGTTCTCTAAAATGTTAATTATATTCAGATTTGTAAGAATGCCTATTTTCTCTGCATACCTGAGCAGATGTTTCTGTTGTCCCCTAAATGAAATGTCATGAAGAGTTGACTATTTGCAGTGGCTAGTAGGTAAATCCTAACCTGTGTTCAGTTTGGTACAGCAAACCTAATATATTCAGAGGGGTGAAGGGACATTCCAGGGATAGAAAGTCTCTTCCTAATCCTTGCTGTTCCCATGGCACATGGAACAAAGAACAAGAGCAAGATAAGCATGAGCATTAATACAACAGTTAGTGTAATAAGACAAACAGAAACCTTCCTTACCATCCTGAAAAAAAATCAGAAATCATCTGTATAGTGGTGCCTTTTCTGATCACAGAAAAACTAAACAAGACTCTGAGGAGGCTAATTACTTTGTGAGTATCTCAAAACCAACTTTGGCTAAGAAGTGATTTTTTTTTCCCCCAGTTCTATGTGTCCTGTCCTGCTGCAAACAGCCTGTCCTGACTCTACTAGTCATCACTGCCTTGGGACTGCTATGGGAGTAACACTGAGCTTAGCATGTGTAGGAAAATTGGATTGTGGGCTTACAGCTGAGCATCAGAAATACATTCAAGGAGCTGCTGGATCAGAGCGACTTATTGCAAAGATGTGCATGGATGTAGTACAACAATCTGGGGATGAAGATTGTCAAACCCACCCTGATGCAGCCACCAAGGCAACCTCAGGCCTGGGTAAGAGCTTCTTCCTTCCTTCCTTCCAGGTCATAGTGAATATACCCAGTGAGGCTGAACCCTAAGCCATGTGTGACTGTATTTTTTGTAAATGCACAGTGATGCAAAATCTTAGGAAATCAATTCAAGAATTGTTCTCTCTGCTCTATTAAAAAGTGACATGATGAAAAGAGACTGTGAACCTTGCATTAACTAGGCAGTTAAACCAGGTTTCTACATGCTTCATGTATCTGAACTGTCTGCTGATCTTAACCATGCATTTTCATTTGTCAGTACACTAGATTTCTACCAAGCTGATACAGGCAAAAACAATTTCCAGAGAGAAATGCACACGTCTGGTCATGAGAATGAAATATTTCAGCACTCCTATCACATGTGACAGCTAAGCAAATCTGTCCCTGGTGCTGACTCTATTAAACCCTTCTGTGCTTAGTAATAAAATACTGTCACCTCACCATCACCCAAGGTAATGGTAAAAGAAGTCTATAAAGACCCCCAGTGGCTTCAAGATAACTGGAAAAATTGTTACATACACATAATAAGAGAAAAGAGTAATGCAGAGCCACTCAGCAATGTGAGGATACTGTGCCTAATTTACGACCTGAATGAAGGGCTCATGTATTCAGGAGCTGTCTTGGATAGTAATTAATAAAATCAGGTTCAGAATGAAAAGATGATTGTGCTGGTCTCAGGACTCCACCTGAGATGTCTCCATTGCAGCACTGTTGTTTAAGCTGCTTTACGCAGTGAAATACTGTAATTGTCTCTCTCCACAGGCTGAAAAACATGTATCTCAAATGAACTCAACTGAAAAGAATGCATCATAAATTTTCTTTTGCACCAAATTGATACTCAGATTTATGTCACTTAATTTCAGAGAAATTCTCTCACTCTAGGTTTCCATTATTTCTTTATTCATTGATATGGATTGCATAAAGCTTTGAAGATAGGTAGAAATAAAATTAAAAAAAAAAAAAGAAAAGAAAAAATCGCATATTTGTAGAGACATTAAGTTTCACATTTCAGAGGGTCATTACTAGGACTGAAGAAACTAATTTTTCTTCAGCTCAGGCCATTCCAGATGTGCTTCCTATGAAGTTTTCTTATACTCATGAAACCTTGGGTGCAGACCGTGCCTGAAGGGGGGATACCTCACCAGAGAAAACACTCTTCTGAAATGGTTTGAGAGCAGACAGCAACAAATTGTATCCTCCTGTACCTACTCTAAGGTTAATTATAAAATCATTCCAATGTGAAGGAACAGGACTTAATTACATTTCTGTGCCAGTGAAGAATAAGGAAGAGATTCATTTTCTTGGAGAAAAGGACATGCCCAATATTTTGCCCTTCTACTATCACATCAGGATGCGCTAGAGAGAGGTTCAAAGCCTAACCTAGTTCTAGAGTGCATGTGCTAAGATATGGGTGCATAATATTGTCCTCACATAACCTAGGGTAGAGACAGAAAGGGAATTATCTTTGTAATTAAGCCATTAAGGCACATGACCTCCTTCAGAAAGGAGTATTTGGGTAATTAATTTTGTACAATGGAGACATATTGTACCTTGTTGACAATCTGACAGCCTTGCAGACTCTCTAACAAAGTGCATGTATTGGTATTTTTTAAATTATAAATGTTTAAAAATAAATGCTCATTCTTCTCTCTCTTCTTGTTTTCCTTCCTTGTCTCTCACAGATTTCTCCCTGTTGTTCCTTCTATATGGAGCCTCCTAACATCAGCATCTCTGCACATATGCTAGCACAATGGGTTGCCATAAAGGATTACAGAGTCATGCAGCTCCTACAAGGTCACTCAAAAATTCAGGTTGGAGTACAGACTATAACCAAGGAGGTGCTTTAATTCAAAGTAGATTCAAAAAGCAAATTGTTCTTCCAAATTTCCTCAGAGACAGTACACTTTACAGCTGGGGAATCTGCTATTGAGTCATGCTCGGCTCAGGCATGAAATTAGTAAAACCTTGAAAAAAGCTGTGTCTTTATTGGAATTCTTGCAGTATCTTTTTCACTTTATTTGTGATATAGGACAAATTATTTAGGGTGTAGTCATTGGCACCTACACTTAATGAATAAAAATTTTTGTCTTCTTATGCATATTTTCTCAGCAGTAGCTTTTCAGGTGTTTCACAGAAGTGACTGGTAACAGTCAACGCCCTAGACTAGGCAATTTCTCATGTCCTTGCTGAAAAAGAAAAATGAGTCACAAGCAGGTTTATTATTCATCCAGGTCTAATCCATAAGGAAAGGAAGGTGGAAGAGTGAAGTGACTTAAGTCACAGTCCAGGTCATTGCAAAAGTGGAAGGGAAATTCAAAACACCACATCTTATTGTAAAAACACTCATATACAGTGGGAAGATAAGCCTTGTAGCACAAGAATCTTATTGTGGAAAGGACTGAGCCACACCGAACACTGTAAGTACTTGCTAGAGAGGGAGGGGCTATGTAGCTCAGCAGTTTGAGCAATAAAGTGGAGATTCAGCATTCAATTTTATGCTGGGGTTTCATGCTGCTTTACATTCCTGTAAATGTGATATGCAATCCTGGCTTTATTGCTAACTGGATCAGTGGACTCCAATATGCATGTTGCACAGCACAGCAGTGCTCCTTGACCACTCATGAAATTAGGTGCTGGCAAATACAAGATTTGCTTCTTTTTCTTCTCTGCAGTTGCAATCATATGTCATTATGATAAATAAAATATGTGACCATCTTCACCAGAGACTAATTTTTTGCTACTTGTATTTATATCTCAAGTAAAAGGTAGAAATCTGCTGATTCACAGAGTTTTGCTGAAGATTAATTTAATTGGAATACTGTTCTTTAAGAAAGCTGTGAAAGCTAAAGACCAAGGTTAGCATGTATTAGGATTTATTTCAGTGGAGATGTAGCTATCAGCACGCGTGTAAAAAGAGACTCCATTTAACTCAGGTGAACTTGGACACTCTGCCAAACACTGTGGTAAGGTGGTGTAACAGATGACTTTCAGAACTTAAGGAGTATGCTAGGAAAGCTGTCTGGGAAGCAAAGCTCCTTTACTGGGCTCTGTATTCCAAGCAAAGGACTCCTTTCCTTTGGGTCCTCATGCATTATTTCCCTTACGCACCATCCAAAACTTGCTCAGGTGAGTGGGAACATTTTCTTTCACTTGAAGGTACATTAACTCTCAGCCACACACAGCAAGAAAATTGTAGGAGTGATGATTTATTCTCCTCTCCATGAATTTGGATGCTACTATGCAGGAATGTAGTATCAAAACAAGAAATCTATATGCTGAAAGCCCACTCTCTATAAATACTATGGAAAACAACCAATCCTTTGCATCTTTCATTTTCTACCAGTATCTGATTATATATCAGCAATTAAGGGAAGCTTGCAATATCTGCAAAGTCAGTGTTAATATCCCCATTGAGAACTGAAGACATTGGGGAACAAAGGAAAGAATTGAGTGCTCCAGAACTATAAAACTAGACAGTACAGTTTGATATACTCTATTATGCACAGCTATTGTGTATTAAGTTATAGAGCTCTGAATGCACATTCATCTACAACATCACTTTTCATAAGTTTTTTATCACAGAATAGGATGTTTCAAGTTGTCAGACATTGACGCATTTTGTACATTTAATTGCTTGTATTTTCAATTTACTGGAGAAGTTTACAAACACAATATTTTTAATAGATTCAAAATGAAATAGTGCATTTGCAATTTCTTTTATCCACAAGAAAAGAAAGAAGAAAAAAAATCAACAGTAGTTTACTGTGCATAAAACAGGGGGCCATCTATTGTAGTCCTTTCCTACCCATTTATGATAATGACTTCCCTGTTGATTTTGAGATAACCACCCTAAGGAATAAAAACATTGCAGCATTTACTCTGTTACAAATGTTACTATGGTTTTGCCTGAGTAAATGCTGCCAGTTTGGTCCCTTGCTTGTTTTAGATGGTCTTTTTTAAGGTCAAAAAACAATTTTACTGAAATTGCTAGGACTTTTGCCTATTATGCCACTGGAAACAGGAAAATAAGCAGTACATAGGAGACAAGAAAAAAATACGTAGCTTACTTTCCCCTGGTAGTTTCAAAGCCGAATGCTTTGGAGTTGGCATCCTGCTGGCTCCTGGTAATCCCAGTGCTGCGAGAGGACTGCTTGACAGACCTGTTCCCTGTAGCTGTATCCAGGCTTGTAGTGACCCCTTGAAGCAGAGGAATCTCTCCAGCAGTGCTTTGTAGGGTCCCTTTGCTGCGAGATGAGCTTCCCCTCTTGTCTCTGCCAGAGTCACCATCACTGTGTCCATTTGACTGACTTGCAGGGGTAGCTATTGTAGGACTGGAAGTTTTCTTCACTGCTGTCATTCTCAGTGTCTCACCTGCAGATGCAAAAGGAGGTCCCTGTGAGGGACTTGCTTTGGCAGCTTGAATTTCAGAGTGGAGTGACCCCCTAATTGTGGTCAGAGATGGAGTCGACTCTGAGTGACTTGTCTGGGTTTCATCGCCTTGTCCTGTGGTCCAGAGCTTTCCTAGAGTGCTGAATCCAGTGCTGCCCCTCTGTAAGGGCAACAGGAGCAGCAAGAAAATGATCTCTTTCATTCTGACGGTTTGTAAATGCTACAAGTTATCTCACATTTATTTCCTAAACAAGAAATCCTGTCGTTTCTCTCTCCTCCTGGGCAGTTGCTCAGATAGTGAGCCTAGCCAGAGGATGCCCTGACAGGCTTTATTTCTGTAGAAAGGAAACAGATTTTGGTGTTTCAAAACTGACTGAGGAAGCCTGGTTTCCTGTTTCTGTGGATCCCTCTGCAACCGGTGACCCCTTGGAGAGCAGGACCCTGGCAGCCTGTGTGGGAGGAAAAAAAGAAGTCTGCAGAAGGCACAGGATAAAGATTAATGGTGTGATAGAAAAGTGGAAAAATATGTACTGTGAAGTAATCCTGAGGGGTAAAACCTGAAATCATTAGCTAATTTTCCTTTCACATGTACATGTACGGACAAGTGACTTATCACATGTGCCCTTTGGATGGTTCAAACTTTTGACCTTGTTATTGGAAAAAGAGTTGAAAAACTCTGTGTTTGTGTGCTACACAAAGCTGGACATTTGCCGTGTCTTCTCTTTTTTCTCTGAATATTTAAGCACACTGCTGCTAATGGTGCATAGATAAGGAAGAGTACTGTACCCACCACTGATGTCCATGGCTGGAGATATTAAAAACTTGACTCAAAATTCACAGACAAGACCCTGAGCAATATGATCTCAGCCCTGCTTAGAGTTGGGTTTTGGACCAGGTGACCTTTGGATGTCCTTTCCAGTCTATATCACTCTATGAAATTATGCTTAGTAGCTACAAGTTGAACAATGCAGCCAGGAAAGAGGAGATGAAATCTTTCCTCCTCTTTTGCCATTCTCCAGCTCTCTGAGAGTAAGGCTGCTTAGTTTCTTGCTGAAGGAAAAAAAAAGAGAAAAGGTAATTACTGTAGAAATTGCATAGAGAAAGACAACATGAAATTTTAAAGTGGATACAAAGCAGCAACAGAATAGACCTGTCAGGAACCATATAGATCTGAGAGGCCACTGCACATCAGTTCAAAAAGCCTCTGGCCACTGACACAAGAGCTGTACTAAGGACTATGGACAAGACATCCCTGAAAGCAAGTTCACACACCTGCAAACAGAACAGCATCTTCTGGGTGTGCTTCATGTTATTTGAGGATCACCTTTTCTCAAAATCATATGCAAAATCCCCATTCCATGCAAATCTGATCACAACAGGGACACAGTGGAAAAGCTGGTAAATTCCTTGCGTATTTTTTCAGAAAATACTTTCAAAAAAACCCCAACCCCAAACCAATAAACCCAAGAGCAAAACATCAAACATGAGGGATAAACCACCAGCTCTTGTTGCAGTCAAATAAATCTCTGTGGTGATAATTTTTCCTGTTTGGAAGATTTGGATAACATTGTCTTGCTTTCAGTTTCCAGGTGAAAAAGTTTAGGTGTGCTAAAGTGTTGGGATTTCCCTCTCTTATGGCTTATTTTTCTGTTTTATTGTCTTGGAAAGCAGGGGCTTCTACTGTGCAGGTAAACCAGATGCAATTTTATGATACAACATACTAGAAAAGATATGCAGTTGTGCCTTCTTTTGGAGACTATTTCCCCTCTCTTTTTTCTTACTCATAGTGAAATCTGTACCTGACCTTTGAATGTAGGACACAGGAGACAATCTAATGAGCAATTTAATTTGAAGACTAACACAAGCAATTTCATGTGAGTGCTTATCTTTTTGAGCTTTATTTGAGATTTTGAATTAGTACAATTACCTGAATTAGCATTTAGCATCCCATATTTTTTAGAAATTCCAAGACAAAATGAATGGTAAATAAGTGTTGACTGTATTTGCAACTTAAATGCAAGCTGACTTTAAAAAATACAGCAGCTACTGTATTTATAAATGTATTTATTATATGTATTAAATATACTGTATTTATTTATGCAATAAGAGTGCCTAATAGCAAAAAATGCTTGGATTCTGCTTTATGTCACTCCATTTCAAGTGTCAATTCTGCCTCCAAATTCAGAGAAATGACTGCAGATTTTCACTGTTGCAGAAAAAAGTAATGCAGAAGAGTCTGGCTTTTGGTGGTTGGTAGATTTCACTACAGCAGTTTTTTTCCCTGTCTGAATACTCCAAAATGAAAATCTATTGGTTATATTACTTCATTAGCACATGCCTGCACTTTAGATGAAAAGATAAAATTGTTTGAAGGCTGTTTTTATTTAGCAAAACAATCTTGGCACTGTAAGAAACTCATGATATCCCTTTTCAGATTGTTGTGTGCTGGATCTGAATCCCAAGCTCATTTTAAGTCTTATTTCAGCATTAGTTCACATCCAAGTGCTCCTTGTCTTGATGTAAATTGAACCCAGGAAAAGATCAGCACTTGGATGCATTTGGTGAAACTCAGAACTAGATTCAAAATTATCCTGAAAACTCCTACTCAACATGCTGCCCACTCCTGTAAGCTAAAATCCATAGGTGCCACATTTTTTGTATTAGTTGTGTATTCATGTTACTGAAGTCCCTGCATATTGGGCTGGCCTCATGGGCTTTTCTTGGAAATTTTAAAAACTGAGCTTGGACCAGAATCTGGATCTTAAGATTCCAATCTGTATTAATTGTCCATATCAGAGTCTACACTCATACATGCTGCTGAACACATCTTCATTCACTCCATGAGTTTTAACTCTATAGGTATTGGCACATTCAGCAGGAGTTGTTGAGAGCCTCTCATCTCCCGTGAGAGCACAAGATGGTAAAGAAAGCAGTTTTCTGGGAGGTGGAAATGGATTGTAAAGATGCAAACGCTCTCCTGGGATTGTCACATTTAAGTCACCAGGCTACATTACATAAAAGAGCAATACCCTTCTGCTAACAGAAGAAGTTACCCCTGTTCTGTACAGCAGAAGAACACAATTTTCAGTGTCACAGCTGTGGTTCTTCAGACAAGGTGAGTCACTTATGGTTGAGTGAGCTGACCAAGGACTGTGATTTTAGAAACACTTATATTTTACATCTGCTAACAGCACACACTCAATACTGTGACTTCAGACAAATCCCTGAACATCTCATTGCATAACCTGAGCCATCTTCAGCAACTTTCAACTCTCCTCAAGCACTGTAAGGAGAGCATCAGGTTTGCTCTCCCCTAAGTTACCAGACTGCATAGCCACCTTGGCAGAGTTACTGTTGATCCTCCAGATTATTTAAAACTTCAATAAGATCACCATGGCTACACAGCCACAGTCTGTCATCCTCATGCTTCAGGGTTCACCAGTAGAAAAGCTATTCCCAGTCTTAGGCAAAGTAGTCTGAATCCATAGGAATTTGTTACCCAGAACTATTCAGGCCAAGGACTGTGCAGCCACATTGCCTCTCTCCTCTATCTCTGCTGGCAGCTACAACAGCTGTAAAACACTGCTCATTCAACGGGCTCTGTCTGCTCAGCACCTGGGGTCACAAGTGATATGGTAAAAAATCAGAGTTTCTATGCCAGTGTTGTGCTTTAACCCCAGCCAGCAATCAAGCTCCATGCACTGAATCTTCACCAGTAGGATCAGGAAGAAAATGAGAAAGGCAGAAGGTTGAAAACTCATGTGTTGAGATACAGACAGTTCACTATGAAAAGCAAAAGCCATGCAAGTAAGCAAAGCAGAAAAAGGAATTGATTCAGTGCTTCCCATGGGCAGGCAGGTGTTCAGCCACCTCCAGAGAGCAGGGCCGTGTCACATGTCGTGGTTACTTGGGAAGACAATCACCATCACTTCAAACATCCCCTCCCCTTCCTCCTTTTTCCCCACCTTTAATACACTGAGCATAATACCATATGGTGTGGAATAGCCCTTTGGTAATTTTGGGGTCAACTGTCCCAGCTGTGGCTCCTCCCAACCTCCCACATACCCCAAAATTCCCTGCCAGTGTGGGAGTGCAAAAAACAGAAAAGGCCTTAGCTCTGTGCAAGCCCTGCTCAGCAATAACACAAACATCTCTGTATTATCAGCTCTGTGTTCAGCACAAATCCAAAACACAGCCACACACCAGCTACTGGGAAGAATTTTAACTCTACCCCAGCCAAAAACATTGAGAAAGATGTTATTGAATAGCTCTTTATTCCACTAGTGTGCTTACTGCTGGGAGAATTTTGCTTTCCATTGCTCCAGATCAAACACACTTGTATTTGACATAAATTCTCACATTTCCTGCAGTGCCTCTTGGTACCAGCTGAATGGTCCAGTGAAAAAGCCACTTTGCTTTCCTCTCTCATATACAGATGCACAGGGCAGCACTTTAGACAGGAAAATAGGCACCTCAGGATAAGGAAGAAGAAATCACTTCTGCAGTCACTCTGCAATGATTCAGAAAATTCTTATCCGGTTATGAAGAGCTGTAAATACCTCTATATCAAAAGAAAAAGTGTCTTTTTCTTGTCATAATATTTCCTCTGTAAGGTCCAAAAGTATATTGAAGACTCTTGAGCAATACCCATACTTATTGTTTGGCTTGGTTTTAGTTTTAGTTTATTTTATTTAAAAGCCCATATCCAATGTGTATGGCTGGTTAGCATTAATTAAAAGCATGCATTACAAAATATGTAATCAGACTTAAGGTGGCCACATTTTACAAATTACAGCCATTGTATACTTAGAAAAAGGTATTTCAGTATGTATATCCAGGAAGTTCAAATTTTACATCTAAAATAAGATTCAATGAATCAGTGAGATTTCTTTAGGTTTGTTCTGATTATATAATACAGACCACTGTGTCCCTCTCAAAAAAAATAACTCCTTTGAATCCTAGTTTGCTTAGAACAGCAGTAACAGGAGGAATCATCACTTTATGTAAGAAGGACATAGCAGCAGAAGGATTTTCCAGTTAAAGGTCAGGATGTGAAGTTTGCATGGCTACAGCATGAGTGTTTCTAAAAGCTCAGCTGTGATCAGGATCCAGCTAAGGCAGAGAGTCCTGTTCCATCGCCAGCATCACTCTTGATCAAACTAAGCACACAGAATACCCCACTGTATCTGATTATACCTTTGCTGAAATATCATGTACCAGTTGTGTCTTTAAAGTGTATTCCAATATATTCTTTTCCTTTGCCTGTGGGCACG